CTCCAAGTTTATTCTCTGCCCTAACGCCGCTTTCGCTTCTGCCCACCACATGTTTGTGAAATGTACCCGCCTTTCCTCGTCGTTCCCGAACCTCTTTTGGTGTCTTCTTGTGGAAGCTTTTGGTATCTGGGTTCTGGGTGTTGATTATTGGCGTCTTTGTAATCAGTAGAGAGAAGAAACTGAAGAAACAGAGAGTGGCTCTGGCTCTGATTTGAAGTGGAATTGACGAAACTCTGGGGATTTCTCAGAGTCAGAGTAGAGAAATCTCTGATTGGGATTTTGCTATGAGTAGTAGAAAGTGATAGAGTGGTAAGATTTCTCTGGTGATGGGCATTGCTGTGAAAATTCAGAGGCTTTGGATGGAGGGAACAACAACTCGGAAGAGAAGCAGCCGCAGTAGCTGTAGGCATTTTTAATTTTATCTTTACACCGGGCGGCTTTATTCCTGCAAATAATGGGCTTCCAAATTTCAAGTTAATATTAGTTAAATTTAGAACTTGTGCCACCCTTGAAATCCAACATAGTAACGTAATAAGACCTACTCTAATCTATCCGTTTATATCAACCAAAAAAAAGACCTACTTTAATCTATTCCTCCAGAAATGAGAATCCATTATACATTTTATCAGAAAGAATCCATTATACATTTTATCAGAAAGAATCCATTATACACGGCAAAATTTCGGTTTTGCAAAAACTGATTTTTTGATACAATTTATTAAAATTGATCTACATCCCTCCTAAAATGAGCTCAAATTTTGGTCTAGTCATAAACCATTTCAAAGGAGTTTTTATAAATGCTTTTAACCATGAGGCTAGTTGTTCTATGGACTTAATTTACATTTTTTAAAAAAATTTCAATTATCCGATTAATATTTACATAAATTTTATCATTATCTGGTGGGATCCATGCTGAATATGAAGAGACATGTGTCTAATTAATAGGAAGAAAAATTTTAACAGCGAAACTAACTTTTCTTATGTACACAAAAATTAAATGATATTTCTTCCGGTTCAAAATATAAATTAAACTTTATTTATTATGTTTATCAAAAGACCAATTAAAATCAATTTAAAACAATAAATATGTAAGGCATATATTTATTTTTCCTAATATACCCTTGTTAATAAAAAGAATAAGCAAAAGATGTAATCAATGAATTAAAGATGAGAGAAAATATATGGGGGTAAAATTGAAAAAACTTCATTAAATACTTAGACAAAAGTAAATGTTATCTTATAAAAAAAACCAACCCTTTTAAGAATGTTTAGCTTATATTTTGAACCGGAGGGAGTAATAAATAGTAGTCAACATTGTATCTTAACTTAAAATCTTAAGACTCAATTTTGTAAGTCATTTCATTTTATTCTAAATTATTTATGAAGTTCAATTGTTTTAGACGTGAGAATACTACTCCATCCATCCCATATTATAAGCAATCTTATATTAGATTACGTAAATCAAAATGACAATTAAAATTGGTTAAAGACAATACATGTGTAAAAATTAAATTTTCTCTTGCCAAAATATTTTTATTTAAGATGGAAGAATTATGAAAGAGAGAAAATACATAATGAAGAGAGATTATATTAAAATAAGTATATATTGGGGGCAAAATAGAAAATTTGTTATAAAAATTTAAGACAACTGTTAAAAGTTGCTTATATTTAGAGACAAGGTAAAAATAGTAGTTGTTACTTATAATATAGGACGAAGGGAGTAATGTTTTTTATTTTCTTCAAATGGGAAGATACATGTCCCTTTAATTCACTTGACATAAAACTTGTTTGAAAGGTGTCAGATTGGAACATCAATAATGGAAATCACATCCAAGCCTCTCTTGTCAATACATCTTGCCTCCTGTTGAACTCGCAAGTAATCTTCATATTTGATTCTCTTGAACAATGGCCTTTCCTTATCTAAGAGCTCCATTGCAAGCCCTATTTCTTTCTCAAGTGCTGGTCCATTCTCTAGTGCAAAACTAAGCCTCGTGTCTTTTTCATTCACCACTACTCTGTGCCACACACTCTTATACTGCTTGTTAATCACAATCTGATTAATTCCAAAACAAATGTCAAACAAGTTTATTAGAACCATCACAAATAGAAGAAGCTAGCTGGTTAAGGTAAGTATATATGATTAATTAAGGAGGGAAAGTTGATGAGTGACCTCAAGTTGATCTCCAATGTTGGCAAGTAAGCAATAAGGCAAAGGAGGATTCACATTAACCCATTTATGATGGTGCTTTACTTGAATGCCTTTGATTCCATTTTCAATGACGAGGGTTAGTAAGCCATTGTCAGCATGAGGAAGTAACCCTAAAGTAAGGTCTGGTTGAGGACATGGAGGTTACAAGTTCGCTTGACATGTCTGATGCCCGGAATCAACACCTGTGGACTCTATAATGGCCTTGGCTTGTAATCCTAAACTCTCTGATATTCCTTCCAGCAAAGTCCTTGCCACATTTCTTATTCTCTTGTTGTATTCAAATGCTTACTCTCTGCAAAATAAGAATGAAAATGTTGTATTTGTTAAAGCCCCAAAGTTTTTATCAGGCTTCTATATTTTTCTTTTATTTAGAGGGATAAATACTAATGACTTAAGGTTATAGGTGGCATGATCAAAATCGTGACCTCTTATTTACAACAGAGTTTTCATGTCATTAGATTATGAGGCTATTGACAAGCTTCTACATTATTGAATGAGAGCATATATGTGAGTACGTAGGTTTAACACTGCTTCTTAATTCAAATCTTGTAACGTCACATTTTTAGTCTATTTCTGCTAATATGACAGGCTTCAATTTCCCTATATATATATATATATATATATATATTTACTCATTCTTGGATGCTAACAAAAATTTATAAAAAAAAAAAAAGAAGATAGAGGAAGAGAAAGAAAAAAGAGAGGTTGAAATTGAGCGTACTTGAAACGAGCGGGCTTGTGGGGGGAATGGAATTCAGGAAAAGTAGCGAGTTTTAGATAATCTCTCCAGTAACGAACCTTCTCTCCATAAGGAAGGGAACTGGTACCAAATCTAATGGGTGTGATTATTTATTGATCAAAAACTTCCATCTTTTCCTCATGAGGCAAATCGTGAAACTCCAGTGACTTGTTTATCTCCTCCTCCGTCAGTTTCTCTGAAATCTCATGATTTGTAATCTGAAAGCGACACATCCAAAAACAAAGTCAACCAGAAAAGCAATTCTAGCTACCATAGAGACTTCAACTAAATATTCTCAAAAACTTTAATTACCATGAAGAAGCCCCATTCTCTGCATGCATCACCCAGCTGTGTCGAACTGCGTCGGCATGGATTTGAGGAGCCGGTGAGGTGAGGAGCGAGAAATCGAGGACGGGGGTGGAAGCAGCAAGGTCATCATCTGCAACATCATCACGACGAGGTTCAGTGAGAGAGTAATACGTGGTCGGGATGGGAACGGCGCCGTTTGATTTAATGAAGGCCTTGATGCTTGTAATATTATCATCAGAAGCATGAAGCGTTTGAGGTTCTGACGAGGAGGAAATAGTGAGAAGTGAAGCCATGGAAACATGAGAGTTGAAGATACTGTGAATAGAAATAAAGAAAGAGTATTGCAGGAACAATATAATACGAGATACTTGGTAATAATTTATCATACTTGACTAGTGTGGTTAATGACTGATTCAATAATTGAGAACCGAGACAGTACTTTTGAGTTGATTGATTCACTTTACTTATATATATATATATATATATATATATATATCTCTCACAGTTATCGATATTTCCAGTTTGGGAAATTCACTAGGTAGTCAAATGTATGAGTAGGACAATATGAAATGTCTACATCTTATCCTTTATACAGACTAAGGTCCATAGTAGCGTCGGTGTTAATTAGCTGCTTATATATGTCGTCTATGATCATGTGACATAATAACAGCCAGACTTGTTGAAATTTGAGTCAAGAATCACTTGACACAATAGAGGGAGGGCAAGATCTAAGTTTGATCTTTTAAGTTTCATAATTTTATTAGTCACTTATTAAGTTTAAATTTGAGGCCTCATCCAAATGTAATAGGTGGTACTTTCATTAAGACAATTTGTCATAACCATTAGATTCTTTTTCAATACTTGTAATGCATATATAAACATGTATCTTTTTCAATACTTGTAATGCATATATAAACATGCATAATATATATAAATATAAATATCTTAGAAACATAATTTATGTTTTTCAAAAAAATTAAAAAATTCTCACCGTTCCACTGTGGTTGGTTTTCATTGGTTTTATCAATTTTCTATTCGTTCTGATTTGTTTTAAACCGGTTTTCAGATTTACATCTTATATTAGATTAGAGGCAATAATACGAGTTGATAGCAAGTTTAGGTTGGCAAAGGTGCAGGTTGTAACGGGCTGGCATATAATCTTTCTTAATTATATATATAGTGCTTTTTTTTAATTCTTTTATCTTAACATACTTTGAAAAAAACAAAACACCTACCTTTTTCAAGTGAAGCAACACCTGATGATGCATTTAAAAATAATATAAAAATACTCTTTTTGTTTTATTTATAAGTCACTTCTAATATGTTTCATATAGATCAAGAAAAATTTTAAACTTTGTTAACTTTCATTTAAAATTTAATAACTTTTTAACTTTAATCCTATTTAATATACAGTATACCTTATATAAGTAAAATCAACATCATAACAAATGAAGAATAAAATTATATATCTATACAAAAAATTTCTCTTAATGCTCTATAACTAGTACCAAAAATAACTTATCTCTGTCCTATAAATAGCACTAAAAGAGTATTGTCTTTTTTATAGTCCAATGACATAATTTGAAGAATTTACTAAGTTGTTAATAATAATGATGGCAGAATAATAAAATAGTAATAATAGGCTTTTAAATATCAGGTTCATGAGGATAAGTTTATTAAAAGAGATCTGATCACAATTTGCAAGTCGACATTAAAAGCATCTAATCAAAATTTATAGGTTGATATCACAAATAACTTTTTTTTTTAAAAAAAAAAAGTATACATATAACCAACAAAGTCTTAATTAATACAACAACAACAAGCCTTATCCCATTAGGTGGGGTCGGCTTAATCTTACTTAATAACATAGAATAATTTAACTACCAGACAACTTAATATCAATCCATGCATCTCCCCATCATCACACAATATTTATAAGCATATAGGCTAGCGACCAAGACACAAACTCAAATCTATCGTCGAATAATAACACAAGATTACATGAGTTTATTAATTGATTGGAGCATAATTTATTATTGTCACTAATTAATATGAATCATATCCAAGCCTCTCTTATCAGCAATTCTGGCCTCTTGTTGAACTTTGAAGTAATCCTTATACTTGATGCTCTTATACACTGCCTTCTCCTTCTGTAGAAGCTCCGGTGCAGGACATGTTTCGTTCTCAAGGGAAGGTCCATTCCCCAGTGCCAACGTAACCCTTGCGTGTCTTTCATTCACCACTACTCTGTGCCGAATACTCTTGTACCTTCCGTTAGTGACAGCCTATTCATAACAACAAACAAAGGGGTTAGAAGTTGAAAAAGAGGCTGGTTAATTATATGTTAAATAATCAATATATATAATCACTGCATTGATATGATATATGCAAAAGACTATTTTCAGAATTTAAACCCGTGACCTTTAGATCGAATGACAGCAACCTCATCATTATTATTAAGCTCACCTCCGTCGTTAAAGTGACTGAATTAAAAACTTTTGCTCATAAAGATTATGTAAGTGGTTACGTACTGTACAAGTTTTCAATCTGGCTTACTGTTATAGTTTAAATATGCGGAAAATAGAGACTGATTCAGAATGTTTTAAGAGTTGAAATGATGACCTCAAGTTGATCTCCAGTGTTGACAAGTATGCAATTGGGAATAGGATTGACGTTGACCCATTTGCCATCATGCATCACCTGAAGGCCATTTACGTCATTTTGAATGAGAAGTGTCATCAAGCCGTTATCATTATGAGGAAGCAACCCTAAAACAAGGTCTGGTTTAGGACATGGAGGGTACAAGTTGGTTTGACATGTCTGATAACTTGAATCGTAGTCTGTGTAATCAATAATGGCATTGGGTCGTAAGTCTAAGCTCTCAGATACTCCTTGAAGCAAAGTCCTCAATACCTCTCTGATTTTCCTACTGTACTCAAACGCAAGCTCCCTACAGAGAAAGAAATTAAAGGTGTTGAATCAAGAAGAAAGAGAAAGATGAAAAACGAAGAACAAGGTAATGGATGAAGTTCTTGAACGTACGAGAAACCAGGAGGTTTGTGGGGGAAATTGAAATTAGGATGTGTTTCAACTTTGAGATAATCTCTCCAGCAATCAGCCTTCTCCCCGTGAGGAAGAGCACTTGTGCCATATCTAATGGGTGTGACCAGTTCTTCATTTGCAAGCTCCTTCTTTTCCTCAAAAGACAAGTTGTGAAACTCGACACACTTGTTTAATAGATCCTTCATCAGCTTCTCCGAAATCCCATGATTTATGATCTGAAAGCGACAAACACACACACACATATATACATACACATACTCAAGTACGACGTAAACCATAAAATCAACATCACAACTCGGTTTTAGGAAAGAGGTTTGAAAATTTACCATGAAGAAGCCCCATTCTTTGCAGACAGTGCCGAGTTGTCGGACGGCATTGGCATGGACATGAGGGTTGTCGGAGGTGAGGAGGGAGAAGTCTATGACGGGGATGGAAGCAGCAAGGTTGTTTTCTGCAACATCTTCACGAAGCTCATGGACAGAGAAGTAGGTAGAAGGGATTGGAACGGCGTCGTTTGATTCAATGAAGGCTTTGACGCTTGAAATTTGAGACGCTTCAAGCTTTTGGGGCTCTGGTGAGGAAATAGTAACTTCTGAAGCCATATGGATAAAGGTTGAAAGGCACTGTCTTAATAGAAATGAAAGCAAAGGGCTTAAATGTAGATGCGTGTGTGTTTATAGATATACACACAAAAGGAAATGAGACAAGACACTGTGCAAGGGGACCATGTGCATGTGCTCATGGGGCTTTCAGATAACGATAATGACCACCCACCCACCCACCCACCCACACACATGGGGCTTTCAGATAACGATAATGACCACCCACCCACACACGCACACACACCCACGCACACGCGCGCACGCACGCGCGCGTAATGACCACCCACCCACCCACACACATGGGGCTTTCAGATAACGATAATGACACACACACACACACAAGTCATTTCTGCGTAAGAGAAAAATGAAGTGAGAAACATGCATTTGAATTTTGCTTTTCCAGAAAATAAGTTGTTACTGCCGTTAGGGGTGGAAATAGGCTAGGCCAGGCTTTTCCCTCAACAGGCTAGGGCTTTTTTGTAACAAACAAGCTTAAGTTGCACTTGTGGCCTGTTAAAGGCTTTCTTTTCAGCTTAAGCCCTACTTGTATAAAAGCCTGACCTGACCTGAAACCTATCAAAAGGCCTACATTTTTTTCAAAAACTATAAACAGGCTAACAAGCCTAGGCTAAACATAGGCTCTTACAGAAAACAAGTCTAAGCCTTTAAACAGTCCGAAAACAGGCCATATATACATAAATAAATTCAAAATTATAATAACCCAATCAAAATTATCTAAAATACAACACATGATCTAATATAATCTAATTAATCAACAAGATAATACCAAATGCAACAAGGGAACAAGTTTCATTACAATTACAATAATTTTGACCAAATAAAGGTACAGCAGTCCGTCGCAGATCATCAAATTTTCAACGTAGTTTCTTCTAGTTTGAACACCTTGAAAAGAAGAAATGAAATGTATAATACTCTTCCGGTTCTAAATATAAGACCCAAAGAAGTCTATTGGCAATGAATCATAAACTAGAAATGAATCATAAAGCACATATTAGCAATTTAGCATATATCAGTTGAATGACTAAAAACATGCTTCCACCCTCTAGGAAAATGAGTAAGAAACCCGATAAATCAAAAGTAAACAAAAATATCCACAACACTAAAATTCCTACTTTGCTGTAGGAAAATTCTGATAAAATCTTGATCCATTGGCACAATACAGGCTATTGTAGAATCTATAAACAAGGCACAGCATTGTATGATTAAAATTTTGATAAAACATGTTACTCTCCCTATATATTATACATATATTCATGGCGGTGATATATATGGGAATATATACATGGGACCTTGTGTGTGTGGGTGTTCATGGCGGTGACTTCTGATTTCAGCGATTTCTTCCATGAATGTATATATAATCATATTCAGACTTCAGATTTCTGCCATGAATGATGAAATCATATCAACAGTCGACCGCTTTTGTTAGTTGAATACCATGGACGAGAGGAAGTACGGTTCTAGTTATCAAAGTTTAGTTTGTAACAAAAAGCTTACCCATTGACGACGCACGATGTAAATGAGTACTGAAGAGGAGGAGAGATTAGATCTGGAGATTGGGATAGAGTGCGAACGGCCAACCGTGGGAGCTCGGAGCTGGAGAGTGAACGACGGCAATGCTGTGGCTTGTAAGATCTGACCGTGTGAGGTCGGAACTGGAGATCGTGAACGACGCTGGTGAGATTTAGGGAATGGGGAACAAAGTCGAGACTGGAGATGGACTGACGGAGAGCTCGAGCGTCGGCTGGATTGAACCAAAAATATCAGGTTTTTTTTGTTGTGGGGGTAAACTTTGGGTTTAAAGTTGTAAATCGTGCAAGATGAGTGGCAAAAAACGCAATTGCGTGGGGCGTAAGATTACGGGTGTGTTTGGATGACTTCAAACCGTGGTTTAGAAAAGTGATTCTGGAGAATAGATTCTGTGAAGAATAGATTCTGAGAAAAAGTGATTCTGAGAAGTGATAGTGTTTGGATAGTTATTACCAGAAGTGCTTTTTATATGTGGAAATTACCAAAAAGGGTATAAGTTAATATGATAATTATATAAAGAATAGATTTTATGATTTATTTTGATTTGAAGAAATAAAATTGTTAATGAAAATTTTTTTACTAACATAATTAATAATATATAAGATAATATAATTAATACATAATTAATATGTGTACATATATTTATAAAACATAATATTAAATATGTTTATAGAAAAATGATTTTTTTTATAACAGAAAAATATTAATTTTGTTTAAAGATTGTAAACGTGAAATCTCATAATATTTTTTCACAACTACTTTTTATAATAACATACTACATGTATAATAACCTCTGATGTTTAATACAATTAATTAATTAATTGTCACCACACATATATATTCATGAAATGTAAGAGTGAAAAATATTTTTAGAGAAGATGAATTATTTTGTTGCAAACAAAAAGTCATGTATTTTTCATGAAGATTATAAACATAAAATGGGATGATATTGTTTGATAAAATAGAATAAAGACGTCTTAAAATAATTTATTAATTATTCAAGTAAGTAATAATTAGCTTGAGAATATAAGGCATAATATTAATAAGAGAAATATAAATAAAGAAGTGTCATAATCATTAAGATGATGCATCGATACAAAGCATTTATAATAGGTTTTGTTTTTAACTACATATTACAATCTATGATAAAAGGAAATAAATAAGACATGACTACTATCCTCGTATTGAATTAACAAGTTCGTCTCTTATGCTGTCACGAACCTGAGCCATGTAAGATGAAGATTGCATTGATGAATGTATACGTGAAAATCTAACCCCATCATCATCATCTTCTGCATAAGTACCTTCTTCTTCCAACTGAACGAATCCAGGATCAGTAATAGATGTCGTTCTAATAAAATTATGTATAGCCATCGTTGCACAAACGATTTTAACTTGTGTTTCAAAATCATACGATGGCATGTTTTGTAAGATTGCGAATTTTTTTTTCCAAACTTCGAAAGTTCTTTCAATTGTACTCCTTAAACTTGAATTGAAATAATTAAAGATCTCATTGTCATTTTCAAACCCAGATGTCCTTCGAAAATCAGGCAAATGGTAACGCTCTCGTCTGTATGGGCCGAGATATCCATTGGGTGTTGAGTATCCAGCATCCACCAAATAATATTTTCCTATATAAAAATGAAATTATTGTAAATTATGTTTATATTGTTAAGCTAAATATAAAAAAAATGTAGGAAATAAAAAATTACCTTCAGGTGGATGGGGAAAGTTCATTGAAGGAGTTGTGAGGGCATGATCAAATATCCGAGCATCATGTGCGCTACCTTCCCATCCGGCCAAGACAAAAGTAAAACACATGTCCCAATCACAAACCGCCATAACATTTTGTGACACTGTTCCTTTCCTAGAGATAAATTTAGTTTGATCTGTTGCACTGACAACGTAGGAAACATGTGTGCCATCAATTGCTCCAATAGCATGTTTAAAAAAATGCCAATATTTACCAAACCGAATTTTTGTATGAACATGCCGAAATGTTGGATCTTTTGGTTTGATATTAGACATGGCAAGTCTACAGCATGCCATTAGGACATTATGAAAATGTCTGCTAATTGTCTCCCCTGAATGTTGAAATCTGTCTTGCTGTATTCTGCTACTAAGTGCATGCCCAACGGTATGTAAAAACATTGCAACTGATTCATGTATCCCTATATTTTTAGTTTCTTTTAGACCATGTTGTTGCAATTGTTCCACCAGACTTAAGAACACATCCCGTTCCATCCTAAACATGTTATAACAACGACTGGAGTTGCCATCTAAAACATCCCTTACCCATATGCAGCCTGTATAAGCACTTGTATGCCGAGGCTCCTTACACAAGTTCAAAGTAGCGTATGCACCAACCAATGCTGCAACTTTGTTAACCCTTTTTTTCCGTCCCTTAGCATGCTCTTCCACATGTTTAATTTCATCATCCATATTCGTTTTATCCTATGCACATACACATAAAGTTTAGAATTCCTACGTAGAAATTATGAAACATTTATAAAAGTTATAGAGTTGTCTGATCCATATAACAATTCACTGGTCACATAAAACATACACATATAGAACAGTCTAATATAATAAGCAAGTCATAAATCCCTAGTATAATGCTCTAAAATGGGTAGAAGTTGTTCCTTCTGATCCTTCAGAGCTGCATACATTTCCCGTGCCTCCGGCCGTTCCATAGGGAGTTGTGTGCACCGTCTAAAGAAATCAGGATCACTAACAACTTCAGGAACTGTTTTCAGGTGAGACAGGACTCCCCTAATTGAAATCTCATAAGCACGCGCTTTTTCTTCCAACCTTCTAGCTTCTGCTCGTGAAATGACCTCATTTCCACGCTCGGCCTCAGAAATATTTGTTTCAGCAATCTTGCTAATTGCATCCACTATTTTCATAGAGGGAGATGTGCGTTTCTTCTTGACTTCACTCTTCCTTCTGACCCCCAGTGAGCTACTAGGTCGACTCCTACCTCTGCTTGTACCCCCACCACTGGTATCCTGCCTCAATTCAGTGTTGGCTCCACTACCTCCACTATTATCATTGAAGTTCACTGTGTTAAATTCCCCACTTATACCAGTTGGTGCGCCTAAAATTTCATCACTATCTCCGGACCCTTCTTCCAAATCTTCATTCGATGTTCCTTCACTTGGAAGTGTCATGGAAGAAGGTGCCCATGCTTGTGGTCCAGTTGCAGCCACACTCCCAAACAATTGAGTTAATTGATCCCTAAATTGAAGTCCCCTTTCTCTAAATTTTTCGTAGTTTGGAACTTCCTGCACATTATACACCAATAATATCATAAAAATATTCAAAAAACAGTAAATATGCACAAAACATTAACAGGCAGAGAAAATGTAAGATCAAAAGGTTCAATAATTACCCTTATTTTCCTCTCCCACCAATCATCAGTTGCACTGACAGTATTCCTTTCAGTATCCCATCCCAATCCTGTCTCACGAAGCAGCCTATCCCATGTCTGCCACTCTTTTCGCAGGGAATCATATTTGTTCTTAAATTGCTGTTTTTCGTACACTCTCCCAGTTTTGGCAGTAAATTTATCACCAAGAATATCCCAAGCTTTCTTTGTTAAGCTTGTACCTCTTCTTTCTCCTTGTTGCACAAGTTCAACGCACAGGTCAATAAACACTTTTGTAGTTCTTACATCCCAGGAAGCTTTCACCGTATCCTTACCCATTATGCTATAGCACAATTACAGCTCTTCAGTCATCACAAGTTAATCAACCCAAATTCATATGAAGTAACAAAAATCATATTATCTACTGTAATAAGTGAAAAAGTTGACCACATCTTCAAATCTCAATTCATTCATCCTACCAAACCAAGCGCGACAAAAATTAACAAACACAAGAAAATTCTATTTTTACATGGCTGGAAAATATACACCTCCCTCTTATTTCAAATTTCATTATCTGTTTTTGCTTCAAAAAACTAACTTTTAAAACATCAAAACTAACTAAATTATTATATATACTTTTTCTTTTTCTTAACTTTTGTTGAAAGACGATTGGATGAGAAAATAATAAGAAAAACCATATTTGAACCATCATGTACCATAAATCATATTGTACTTAACTTTTACAATAACTATGTATTACCAATGTATTTAAAAAAATTCGTTCATGTGCATAATTAATACAAATGTTCATGATGAACGCACTAATATTATATAAAGCACATAATTGTTTTTAAAAAATTAACATATTGTAGCAGCTTTTCATAATATTTGTTTAAAATTATATTCTTATCAGATTTGTCAATCAAAAATACAAAAAAAACTAGCAACGTAAACTTCTGACCAAAATACAAATAACTTCCTTCAATATATACATGGATTTGAGTTGTGATTCCATTTTTCCTCACTCTCAAAAGTTGACCATAAGTCTATCAAAATCCTTAATACAACAGTACAGGACAACACATTTCCTATCTCGTTCCAAATCAGATCAACACATTTACATGATAATTAATTTAATTAAAGTACTATCTAAGGGGAAAAAAATTCCCAATACATTGTTTGACTTCATAGGCTTCTTCTCCAGGAGGAAAATCTGGACATAAAAAAAAAGCTCCCACGCCAGGCAACAAGAGGAAAAATAACTTGCATATATATCCAGTAGAATTCAATTGACAGCCTTTTTCGTCTACAAAAAAATATCACCACATGCATCCCTGCCTCTAGAACCAGACATTGATGAGTCCAGCTTCGATCCGCAGGGAAATTTTCCAGGAAAATGTTTATCAAATATCAATTACCAGCATCTGATCTGTTCCCCCTTCGTTTCATAAAATCAAACTACTATGAAACCAAAGCAAGCAAAAATCAACAATTCAACACAGGATATTAGAACACTACAAAATCATTCCAAAAATCAACATACCACGGTGCAAATATACTAGCCACGGTTCTAAACAAATTCAACACAGGAGAGCTACACGGCGAATAAGACGGACCGAACCAGAAGCACACGGCGGTGCAAAAATCAGAGGGACCGAACCAGAACCAGGTGGTGAACAAAATTCAGAGGGACCAAACCAGAACCACACGGCGGTGCAAAATCAGAGGGACCGAACCAGAACCAAACAGTGAACAAAATTCAGAGGGACCGAACCAGAACCACACGGCGAAGAAAATTTGAACAACATGCCGGTTGCG